AGGGGGAGGAGGGGACGGGTATTTTCATACACAAAGAGTGCAATGCGCACCACCCGAAGGACGGAGATATTTGAAACTCGGACTTGGGGGGGAGGGGGGGCAAGGGCAACATACGTAACCTAAACATCTTTACCCCCATAATATGCTTAAATAAAAAAAAAAAGTCTATACTATCTAAAGTGATCTACAGATTCAACGTAATCCCTATTAAAATACCAATTTTTTTGCAGATCTAGAAGAAATAATTGTACACTTCATGTGGAAACAGAGAAGACCCCATATAGCCAAAGCAACCTTAAGCAAAAAGTACAAATTAGGAGGATTCAGTCTACTAGACTTCAAGCTATACTACAAGGCTATAGTAACCAAAACAGCATGGTACTGGCACAAAACAGAGACACAAACCAACGGAACAGGACTGAGAATACAGATATAAAACCATCCTCATATTGTCATCTGATCTTTGACAAAGCAGACAAAAACATACTCTGAGAACAGAATCCCTATTCAGTAAATGGTGATGGAATATTGGATAGCCATATGTAGAAGACAGAATGAGGATCCACACTTTTCACCTCTCACAAAAATCAACTCATGATGGATAACAGACTTAAACCTAAGACATGAAAACATAAAAATTCTGAAGAAAATGTAGGAAAAACTCTTATAGACATCAGCTTAGGGAAAGAATTTATGAACACAACCCCAAAAGCAATCACAGCAACAACAAAAATAAATAAATGGGACCTGATAAAATTAAAAGCTTCTGCACAGCCAAGAACACTTTCATTAGAGCAAACTGACAACCTATAGAATAGGAGAAAATATTTGCATGCTACACATCTGATAAAGGGTCAATAACTAGAATCTACACAGAACTTAGGAAAATCAACAAGAAAAAATTGAACAATGCCATTAAAAAGTGGGCAAAGGACATGAACAGAAACTTTTCAAAAGAATATAGACTAATGGCCAATGAACATATGAACACTTGCTCAACATTTCTAATCAGGGGAATTCAAATCAAAACCACAATGAGATAACACTTAACTCCAGTGAGATTTGCTTTTATAAAAAAAGTCCCCAAACAACAAATTTTGGCATGTATGAGGAGAGATAGGAACAATTATACACCACTGGTGGGACTGCAAATTAGTACAACCTCTATGGAAAGTAATATGGATATACCTCAAAAAACTAAAACTAGAATTACCATTTGATCCAGCAGTCCTACCAGTGGGTATTTACCCAAAGGAAAAAAAAGACATGCTATAATAAAGACATCTGCACTCAAATGTTCATAGCAGCACAATTCACAATTGCAAAGATGTGGAAACAATCCAAGTCCCCGTCAATATATGAGTGGATTAATAAAATGTGGTTTATATATACCATGGAGTACTACTCAGCCATAAGAAACTATAGTGAATTAATACCTCTTGTATTATCCTAGATGGAACTGGAGCCCATTCTTTGAAGTGAAGTATTATAAGAATGGAAAAACAAGCACCACATGTATTCACTGCTAAATTGGTACTAATTGATCAATACTTACACACATAAGAAAGTAACATTCATCGGATGTTGGGCAGGTGGGAGGTGGGTAGATAGGATGGGTAAAGTCACACCTAATGGGTGTGGTGCGCACTGTCTGGGGAATGGGCACACTTGTACCTCTGATTCTGGAAGTGCAAAGCAATATATGTAACCATAGTGTTTGTACTCCCATAATAGTCTGAAATTTAAATATATATACACACACACATATATATATAAAGATGATTTTTCAAAATCAATAAACCCCACTCAAAGAAAAACAAGCATATAAGGGGAGAGGTACTATATAAGAACAAACACAAATGAAAAAAATTATTTAAAAAAATCTTTCAAATACTTTAGATGTTATCAGATGCAAATTATAAAATAATTATGCAGTTTTACAGAAATTGGAAGGCAATCACCAAGGGATATAAACCTTGACAGAAGAAAAACCTAAGAAGCAAACCTTACATTAGTGCCAACTTTCATCCTGAGAGCACTTTTCCAAATAGTGTAGGGAAATAGTGCAAACAGAGTGGCTGTCTTACTGGGCAGAAGCAACAGATATCAGTGTGTGTGGCTGCTACAGAGTTTCGTTTTAGGCAGTAGGTTACTAAGGTGAGTAGCCCCCTAAATTAAAGAGAATTGAAGGGAAGTATACACACCTTAAAGAGTCTAAAAATTAGCTTTGACAACCAGTTAAATAAGACAAAACTCTTAAGAAGGTAACTACTATGGTTTAAATGTTTGTCCCCTCCAAAATGGGTGTGAAATTTGGTTGCCATTGTGGTTGCCATTGCAGCAGTGTTGGGAAGCGGAACATTTGGGAGGTGATTGCACCATGAAGGCTTTGTCTACATGGGTGGGATTAATGCCATTTTAAAAGGCAAGTTTGGTCCCCTTTGGCTTCTTTGTCTTTCTGCCTTTCACCATGTAATTAATGCTGCTGCAAAAAGGCCCTTGCTAAATGTAGTTTTTAAAAAATTATAATTGTTATGCTAAAAAAAGGAGAGAAAGTTGAATCATAAAATCCCCCCCAAAATAAAAACCCCACAATGGCAGAAAAAGAGTTGAAGACAACAATAAGAACAAAAAAAAGATAATGAATATACAATAAAACTAATATCATAAATATTAACCAACCACACAAAAAAAATCACCTTAAATGTCAATAGCCTATATATATACCAATTAAAAGACAGAGATTGTCAGAATGGATCAAAAAACAGAACCCAGGGGGAGTAGGGGGCAAGGGCAACTTATGTAACCTAAACATTTGTACCCCCATAATATGCAGAAATAAAAAAAACCAGAACCCAACTATAGACCAATAAATCAATGTAACAGAATAAAAAGCACAGAAATAGACCCACATAAATACAATGAAGCAAAGGTAGTCTTTAAAAAAAACATTTTTTTGAATGTATTATAATGAAGCAATATGGTACATTCCAGATATCCTTCCATCATGGGTCATTACTATTTACCTAATGTGAGTCAGAGGCTTACATAACCCAAAGCACATCATTCTAGTCATCCTTCTGGATGAAGGAGCTTACAAGTAGCTCTCATAAATGTCCATCATGCCTGTTCACAAGTAATCTGAAATGTTTTCCAGAATTTCTTCTTGAACTTTATCAGAAAGATAAAAAAGAACTCTAGTCCCTCAAAGGGACCCACTTCATAACTACACATCCTTGATAACTGCACTTAGATAGCTCAGGCTCATTTCTGATTACAAGTGTTAGAATTTATTTTTCTAAACCATTATTAAAGAATTGTAAAACGGGACAAAGTCAAATTCTTGGTTGTTTGATGTCATATTTTGCAAGTTACATTGATGAGAGTTTTTACCACCTGTTCTCCCTTGCATCATGGCTTGCTTTCAATTCTCTTTGGTTGGTTTCCTATACCTGAGTGACATTGGTCTAATTCCACTCACTGCCTTTTTACAAACTACAAGATTCTCTTCTGTTTTTTCATACTGGCTCTAGTAAAGCAATTCCAAGCCAGACCCTACTTTCTCCACAGATCCTGATAGGCTCAAGAGGACTGATTCAAGCTGAACTATAGCATCATATTTACTGTTCCCAAATACATTATGTGTAATTTTTACATTATGTGTAAAAATTTTCTACTTCCAACTTTCTATAGTTGCAGGTAACTTAGGACACACCGTATTATAACTTACAATACTTATAATACAGAAGGGATTCCCACAAATTTGAAGGCTAGGAAAACATAGTATAAGCTGTTGTAATAATTCACAGAAAAGGAATTTTCAGAGACACCACAGTATAATTACAAAAAATATAGTAGGGCCAAATAAATGTGTTACTCAAGACATAGAATTAATGAATAAGGCAAGCAAAAATAAAGATCATATTTATTATGTTCCAGTCTCATAGTAGGTGCATACCATTAGATAGACAGAAGAATGTGAAAATAGTCTCTTTTGCCTTCTATGGCAGAAGGTACATTGCTCACACCTTTACGGGCAAAAAAGGTGAGAACTGAGTTCATTTCTTGTATTGTGAAACATTTATTTCACATTTGTATAATTGTCTATATATCCTGAGAATAAGGCAAGACCTTCTTGAGGTAGAAAAAATCAACATGTCCTTACGGCATGAAAATGTGTTTGGGAATTGAGAGAACCCCTTTCTTTAGATGTACAAATTGGTTCTCAATGAAGTTCTTAAAAGGCCCAGCTACAAGAATAAGCCACTAGTCCAAATGTCACAATTGTTTCTGCAAATCTGAATTTTTAATTTAATGAGATTAAAAATCTTAGAATGAATGCATATACCTTTAAAAGAACCTATACACAATCAATCTAAAAGGTCTCGTAATAGTACCTTGAGCACCACAACAGTTTCCCACTCCAGGGAAACTGGAGTGGGAAACTCCACTCTAGCATTGCTTAATGCTAACAGCTTAAAGATAATTGGCAAGCACTAATTATAATTATGAAAGGATCAACAAGGAAGGAAAGGAGTATTAGGAACAAGGGTGTAAGAGGAGGAGTTATGACAAACGAGTGAATAGAAGAAGACCTAAATATGAGAAGTATCAGGAAACCAATATCCAGTAGCAAAGGCTACTAAAGATATCCCATCACATTAGCTGCTCTCTAATCTTTACAGAGAGCAAGACAAATATGGAAGCAAAATAATCCCAGCTAATGCAAGTTAGTTTCACAATGCTGGTATAGTCATAAAATCAGATAGGCTAAGAATCTAACTGCTAGTATATGTGGATGAATCACAAAATGACACACAAGGCATATGTACGCACTATTAAGAGCTGCTTTTCAAATATTGGCAAAAATACATTTCAAATAAAATTTGTTCTCACCATATTTAAGTTCTTTGGGTCATTTCCAAACATCATAAGCAAGGTATCAAGGCAAAGCTTATTAAAAATCTGTAGTGAACACAGCTTTGAACCAATAAATTTGTTAAATGAGGTTTTAGGTAAGAAGTCTTTGTTGCCAGAAAAACCCTGTAAAATAAATTTATTTTATCCATATTTGGAAGACCACAATAATTAATTAAGAAATGATGTGGTGAGTTCACTATGAATACAACCAAATGAATTAACTAACAGTAGCTTTAAATTTTTAAATTAAGGAAAAATCTTGGAAGCAGGATATAGAGATAGTTTGATTGCTGGATTTTCTCTCACAATGAGGTATCTAAAAATATAAGTAAAATTCTATTCCTTTATTTCTATTGTAGAAATAAAGGCAAGAATCCAGCGTAAATGCAACTGAAAATCGCAATTCACACACGTGGCTGTGCAAAAATAGTCAAGACCTCTTATTTTGAAAGCACAGCATCATTGTCACTTGGGTTATCGCTGATACAAAAGAAAGGTAAAATATACCTTGACTAATGACTTCCATTTGTATGTCATCTTAATTAAAGGGCTTTTAAATATTTAATGGAGAAAACTGGTGCTAAGGCAAAAAATATTTTGATTCTTTCAGCTATCTTTGGTATTGTGGAAAATGTTATGAAACCTGAAAGAAAATAAGATACAAATTAGTAAGTTATTCTTAACCAAATATTAGCACATGAGAGATGACAACATGGAGGACATAAGTTGAAATATAGTCTCTGAAGAATTAATTTAGTCATTCATTTCTTAATTCATTTGTGAAATATTTTTGATCACCTGATATGTGACATTATATTGATCCCAACATAATGCCAACAATTAGTATTTTTAAAATATCTATATCATAAAGGAAGATAATTTAGCAATAAATCAGACTTATAACACCATAATTTGAAAATCAGGAATAATATCAAACATTTGTATAACTGGCAATGGTGAAAATGAGATAAGTGAAATTTTCAGACAGATGAATCTTATACTTTAGGTGAGAGAATAAATTTCAAATTATTTTAATATTTATTTTTAATAATTTTTAAAATTCCTTGCTTTATTATACAGCAGATACAAAACGTTATATTTTAATGATAGTTTAGAGTGATTAGTATGAAAATAGTAATTTTTCCCATTTGCTATCTTATCAAGCTAATGTGTCTACTTACACATCTCTATTCTGATTGGTTATTTACTTAACTTTGGTTGGGTTCTGAATTCAAATAATCAAATAAATATATATCATAAGTTAATAAATTCTAGTACATTACCTTTTTTTTCAGGCATTCCTGGTTTTAGTTAATTGAACAGCTGATGAGAATTTGGACTAAAAGTCATATATATGGTTAATATATTTCAGAGAAAAGATCTATGGAATATGAGATTAGATTGTTACTCAACATACTTTCTCTAGTAGGAAGTGGATTATTCCTATGAGAAAATTATACTTTTCAGCCTAGAAAAGACTTTTTAAATATGAGGTTCTGTTATAAAATGGCTTTTTTGATCTGCAAAGTAGAAAGAATAAGAGTAAAGAAATTTATAGTATCATGTAAGAGAATTATGTTAGGTCTTAGGGAATTTATTTCTGAATGTAAAGTTATTATGCATTAGATAGGCATTAAGGTTCTGATTAAAGTTCTTTTCTAGTCATCTTTAAATATCAAAACTTTCCTCATTTTTATACATTTCTTAAGTTTGATCTGTCCTAAATGCAAACACATATATAGCCTTTTCAAGTCTTTCCCACTCATAAAACCCTATGCTGTAATTTCAAAAGGAAAAATAATGTGAAAGTTCTATTCGTGGAACAAATGATTTTTTTCATTTGTTCCAAATGATAGTTATATCTCACTTTGATCTTTAACAGCATGGATATCTAACTTTTATACAATTTGAAATAACAAAAGCCACAAACAACCTTGTATTTACAATCAATTCTTTGTGATTAGAGAAGATTTCATGCGGAATCAAAGCAGCAGGTAAACTAGGGCATGCTGCTATGCTGTTTATCTCACAGTTTTGCTTTGTTTCACTTAGAGGTCTAGAAGCTTTTCTACAACCTTAAGAAGTGTATCTACAACCTTAAAAAGCAACTGAGAGATATTAGCAATAATCTTTCTTGGCATACCAATAGTAGTGCCCTGTGAATGGCCTACATAAAACATTTCCTCTTGTCCCGTTTGCTTCATGATGAAATCAGTGGAGGCCGGAAGGTCATATTTTGCCATCTCATCAAAACTACAAAAGAAAGAGGAAAATAAATATAGCACTTTCTGCTAATGTTATAGTAACATTTCAAGATAATAAATAGCTAAATGAACAAAGACAATTTTCAACCCTCTTTGGATATTAATCAAGAAGTTATGTGGTATAATGCACCTACTGAATAGATACTTGTTTCTGCGGGGAACCCAAAGTCAGAGAAATAAAATACCTACAACAAGGCAGTCTTATAAAGAGGGTGTTTGTATATTTTAAATACAGTAAGGTAGACAAAATATATGAGTTATAGAAAGGAAGAGTAGTTAAAACAAGGATGGGATCAATCAATAAGGTACTATGTAAGAAGCAAAGGTTATTGCTGAAAAATTAGAAACTCAAAGTCAAACAAGTGTTCTAATCTTCATGCTAAAATTTAAATAAATTTTAATGGTCTATGGAAAGTCCTGAATTGAGAAAAGAGTCAGGTCTAAATTTTATTTTATTTCATTCAAAAAGGAAAAAAAGCTTAATACTTTTATAAAATAAAACTAAATATTACTTCATTTTATCTGTACCTGAAAGCCCAGAATTCTTTGGAACTCGTTTCCAGATACAAGTGTTTCCTGGACCACGTATTTCCTCTGCTATTTCCCATCCACACATCATAACCAGCATCTGCCAGAATGAAGCCCAGACTATTGTTGGGAAGATTAGATATCCAGTTGCTGGCAGATGTGAGCAAACCATGTTGTAAGTATACAACAAGCTTCTGAACTGGAAAAAAAATGCAGAATTTTTTTTTTAATTTTGTAGTATATACATGAAAATCTCTTATCTGAAATCCAAACTTTCACTATATGATAGTTTGAAAATTTTTATAATTGTTTGCATAAATGGGGTAAGTTAACTATGTTTAATCCCATCATATGTCAAAGCTTTTAATATAGTTCAGAAATGGATTTCTTTCAAATAACCAAGTAGGCAATTATGTCATGTCCCAATTTAATATATAAATATTAGGTATAGATAATAATAAAAAATCTTATGTTGCTCCATGAATTAATATTAAACATGTTTGCAGACAGGATTTGTCTTAGGAGTTTTGCAGCGCTTTGCCCTGAAGGAATATGTGAACGTGTTGGTTTACATTTCAAATGCTGTTACACTCGGAAGGGCGTCTCTGAAAGACAGTAGCGGCTGTATCCCACAAAGCGCTGCGTTTCTCAGACCTAAAGGTTTGGATTTGCTTTGTAAAGCAAAGTGAATCTGCTAAAAACTACAGGCTGAGAGCTGACAATGGAGTGCCCCCCAGAACAGACAGCTTCCCGAATGGCTAGAAGCAAAGCTCTTGTTTTAACACTCTAGACTACCTGTCTCCATTCACAATAACCTAATAAATATGGAGCCAACATATCTCTGTTTAACCCCTCTGTTAAGTGATAAACTTACGTTAGAACTTAGAAGTCAACCTTTGAAGGATTTTATTGCCATTTGCTCATGTAGATAGAATTAGTTAAAGAATCTGTAGAAGCCTTTTGAAAATCTGTTAACCTGAGAGGAACTACCTGCTGTTATGTAAATCTGTTACCCCTGGCAATTATTCACTATTCCCTATAAGTTACCATGCAAGACCTCATTTGGGGCTTTTTGAGACCCACAGAGAAGGTCTAGGCCCCCTGAGATCCCACTTTGCCTATAATCTTCATAAACTTATAAAACCATATCTTTGTCTCTGTGTATTCTTTTATTTTCCATTTTTCTCTATTATTTTCTTATCCCTTGCAACTCTACCAAAGGGACCCAGTTTTTTGCGGGGAACATTGGCCACATTCCTGGCAATCTTATACTAATAAGAAGACTCATACACATTTTAAATAATACATTTTAAAAAGGAAGCCCATTTCATGTCAAAGAAGATGCATCCATTGGCACATGGCTATGGTATCCACTGGTCCTATCATAAAACTCCCATCAAGACACTGCCAACCTGAGGAGCAATGAAACAACCCCTTGAAGGCTCAATGGAGATGCCATCTGGAGGATGACATCCTGTAAGTATGGGTGCTATCCTTTAGGATTTATTATATACCTTAAACAAATGTCTATAATACATTGCTGATTCTCCAATAAGTAGAATACATGGGTCTGAGAAAGAAGAGGAGGGTTTAGGAGTGGTCTCACTCACCATCACTCCCAGTAGTGCTTCCTGTCCTCACAATTTTAGGCCATATAGATGAAGAGGCCCTGATTCCCAGAGAGAAAATGCTTTCACCAAGGCACTGTAAGTATCCTAATAAACTTAACAGCTATGACCACTGCCTGGTCATTTTGGGCTCCTCATTACTGAAGGAAGCAGAAAAAGCAGTCACTATACTGGCAGGGGTAATTTACCCTGATTATCATAAAGAAATAGGGCTGCTGATAAAAAATGATGAAAGGGAGAAATATATTTGGTATTAGGGTGATCCACTGAGTCATCTTTTGCTACTCCATGCCCTATTTTAACTGTACATGCACAAGTACAAAAACTGTGACCTGACATATATATGGTAGCCCTTAGGAATGAGGGCCCAGCTTACTACATTAGGCAAGCTAGCTCAGCGGTAGAGAAATCTAGAATGGATGGTGGAGGGGGCAATTTATGAGTACTAGTTATGGCCTTAATGTTGCTTCCTGAGGGTTCACTATTGCTCCTTTCTCTATGAAATTGCCCTTGGCCAAATGTGAATTTCCTCACCCAGAAGATTACACCTTCTTTTAGGGGTAGCCTTCAGGCAATAATTAACTGATAGGGGAATGCAAAAACCTAGCTCTCTAACTTCAAGGTGGGACCATCTCTGTAGTGCAATTCAGCTCCTCTGAGATCACTTTTTAGCTTTTCCCAATTGAGTCACAGGCTTCCTTAGCTCCTTCTCTACCCTATCCTAATTTCCACATTCCTTTCTCCTGACAGTAGTCCATCAATAAATCAGATTCATCTGAATCCCTTTCTCGGTCTCTGTTTCTAGAGCACTCTAAAGCACTTGTTTAGAGTATTTTAAAATTATCTTTAAATATTTTATTATAGTACTTGCAAAATGAGGTCATTCCCTGAGGGATAATTGCTGTTATTTTGTTAAATGTATGTTAAAATTTTCTGCCTACTAGATATAAGTATCCAAAATTACATTGATTTAGATTGTTTCAAATTAATGTCTTCTCTGAAGTATACTTTAATATGCAAAAGAAAACATGAGAGGGTGCCCCATAATATGAGAAACATTTTTTTCACGGAGAAAATCTGAAGAGAAAAGAAAGAAATATTTGGCTTTTATTTGGGCAATTATATGAATAAGCAAAAGTAATTCATTATATATTCTACCAGTAAGTGGCAGATCGAGGATTAAAACCCAGGTCTTCTGACAAATTCTAGTCTATTTTGTACATACTCTGCTGATATGTGTGTGTGTGTGTGTATGTTTGTATGTATATGTGTATATATATATGTATATATATTTACAGTTGGAATAAAGAACCACAAGGCTGCTACCAACCTGATCCCTCTGCTATTATTAGAGGAGATAATTGTGAAGACACAGAAGCAAATTTTTACCAGCCTTTCTTCAAACCTACAGAATAATAATGTAATTGCATTTCAGAGCATTTTTAATTCCTCATCAAAAACAATCTAGAGAATCAACACGTATGAGCAAAGTGATCAACAAAATAAACCTTGGAGAAACAACTTGTGTTTTACCACAACCACCCTATGAACAGAAAACCAAAGGAGAATCAAATTCTCTTCTTGAAGCATGCAGGAAGATACATGAGAAGTTAACTGTTCACTTAATCTTAAGATTCCTTTCTTGTCCTGAATTCACTGAGAAGACCTGGAAAAGTTAAGAAATTTAGGCCCCAGATAGTCACCAGTCTATCTTCAATTGAATATTACCTGAATTGTTGTTATTGTTTGTTTTCCCATAAGGAATTCTATAAAGGCCAAGGATATAACCGTCTTCAGTTACAATATTATACTCTTCATCAGGATAGCCCCAGTAGGAAATAATTTGGCTCTAGATAAACAAAAAGCAAACTTTTTATTTATTTTTATTTTTTTTACAGTGAAAATGGGTGAATTTTATGACATGTAAAATATACCTCAATAAAGCTGTTAAAAAAAGAAATTACCCTGTTCAATTTGTTCACTTTCTTACTGTCTTACACTCTTTGGTCAGAGTGCAAGCTTAAAATATACCTCAATAAAGCTGTTAAAAAAAAGAAATTATCCTGCTCAATTTGTTCACTTTCTTACTATCTTACACTCTTTGGTCAGAGTGCAAGTCAGGGATCTTGTCTGTCTTGTTCACTAGTATATGCCCAGCACTTGCTACATAGTAGGAGCTCAGCAACTATTCAGGGAAGGAGTGAAAAAATCAGTTGGCAATCTGTTACCATTGTGCAAACAGTGTAAGCCTGTGAAAGGAAATCCACTCAATACAGAATCAATAACAAACTTCAAATCTGCAAATCACACACCAAAGATTAAAAAAAATCACAAGACCTCCATTCTCAATGGGTGTGCCAGATTGTCTGCACAGAGTTAACTCAGCATCTTTTTTACTTCCTTCTATACCATCTTCATCATTACATCATCATTGCAAAGATGTCTGCAGTTATGTTTCTCAGAATTCCTTTCCAGGATGGTTTTGCGTGAGATTCTGTGAAGTCTTGTGAAAGTTGAAGGGTGGCAGAGCAGAAGTCATTATTCTCTGACAGCAGTCGTAGGCAGATGGGAAGGGGACAAAGGTGAGGTGTATGGAGCTTTCTGGTGAGTTCCTGTGAACCATCTGCTTAGGTGCTGCAGGTAGCTGAGATTGTAGCTTCCCTGCAATTTCTGGGAGTCACTTGCTTTGAGCTGTGGGCAGCAGAGGTTGTTGGCAGCCACCTCTCTGCTCTGCTCACTTATTAATTTCATGAAAATCAGCTGCTCCCCTGATCTTTGCTACTCAAGTCTTTTCAATGGTAAAGTGTCTAATTCCTTATATTAAAATCTTTCCTATTTGGAAAGCTGGAGGTGTTTCCTTTTCTGACTGAACTCTGACTGATACAATAGCTATAGAGTATAATTTTCAACAACTCAGAGTTTTTTTAAATGATGGCGAGGGGAAGGATGGGTCGAGATTTTGTGTCCCTTTTTAGGCTTCAGTTGGCCAAATAGGAACATCCTTTATTAATCTCTGGAAAAGCAAACCTTTTAGCAAGAAATTGCTAGCCAACTAAGTTAGATGTTTTGCCATTTCTAACCCATTATGTAATGATGAACCTTGGTATTCTCCCTCAACTTACACCTATCTATTTTCATTTTCACTAATTTACTGATTCATTCAGGTAATAAATACTTATAGAACACCTACTAAGCACCAATCGTATACACTAGGGATTCAAGAATAAAGCAAACAAAAAAACACCCTTTTTCCCTCAAGGAGATATCTCAAGAACTAGTCCACTAATATTTTCTTTTCTACAAGTCACTCATACTTTTACCTAACTCCCCTATACGATTTTAAAATATATGTATATCCACAAATGTTTACATATCTATGCATACATCTAATCTTATATCTGAAATTTGTATATATGTGACTGTATAGAAGAGAGAATTTATAGGTTCTCCATAAAATTCTGAATATATTTATATATAATTTCATCATAGAGAATAAGTCTGAAGGGGGAACTGTAAGCTATAGAACAGCAGATGAGGAACATTAATTGACCCATACCAAAATATATAAATGCAGAAACATGCATTTGATTATAAATCTATTAACTTAAAACTTCAAAATTTGCAGTAGCATTCTCTGTTATTTCACCAGCTTAGATTTATTTCCTAACAACTTACAATATTCATATTTGTTTCAGGGTTCTCAGGTCTTCGATTTCGAAGGACACTGTGAGTAGTTCCAAGAATTAGGATGAAATATATCACCGTGAAAAGACACCACATTTGAGACCTATGTATAAAAGGAAAATGTTTATACTATTAAAATTGCAGTAAATAATACCATTTATAAAATTGCAGCAAACAATTCTGTGAGGTAGCGAATTCTGTGAGGTAGGGAACACTATTTTCAGATGAGAAAATTGAGGCTCTGAAGAATTATTAATAAATAACTTAGCTAAAGATGTACAACATATATTGAAACCCGATCCCCACCTCTCATCTCTCACAAAAATCAGCTCACAATGGATAACAGACTTTAACCTAAGGCATGAAACCTTAAGAATTCTAGAAGAAAATGTTGGGAAAACTCTTATAGACATCAGCCTAGGCAAAGAATTTATGAAGAAGACACCCAAAGCAATCACAGCAGCAACAAAAATAAATAAATGGGACCTGGCCGGGCGCGGTGGCTCACGCCTGTAATCCCAGCACTCTGGCAGGCCTAGGCTGGTGGATCGCTAAAGGTCAGGAGTTCGAGACCAGCTGAGCAAGAGCGAGACTCCGTCTCTACTAAAAAAAAATAGAAAGAAATGATCTGGACAACTAAAAATATATAGACAGCTACTCGGGAGGCTGAGGCAGAAGGATTGCTTGAGCCCAGGAGTTTGAGGTTGCTGTGAGCTAGGCTGACACCACGGCACTCACTCTAGCCCAGGCAACAAAGCGAGACTCTGTCCCAAAAAAAAAAAAAAAAGACATAATGCTAATTTTGTATAATCTCTTCCAGAAAATAGAAAAGGAGCCCTTCCCAATTAATTTTATGAAGTCATATTAAAGAAAAGAAAACTCCAGATCAATATCCCTTATGAATATAAATGCCAAAATTCTCACCAAAATATTAGCAGATTAAATCCAACAATATATAAAAAAGATATTACATCCTGATCTAGTGAAGTTCATCCCAGAAACACAGGCTGATTCAACATTCAAGTATAGATGAATATAATTTATTCATTAAACTTCCACTATGGTGACAAAATACATTTAAGTAGGAAAGATAAAAATGAAAAATAAATCTTCAAAAACTGTTTTCTTCCCTATTTTAAATGAGGGTAAGGAATTCTCATGCATGTATATTTAAATGAATTTCTGCTTCCTTTTCAATGCAAGAAGCAATCCTTATATCACTACGTTTTTTTTATCACTGAGAGAATATAAGTAATATAACACTAATAAATACATTGCAGTAATTGACAGCTTCCTGCAAGCCACACCTCCACAGACAAAAGTTTTTCCTAGGTCCAGTGTGGGTTTTTAAAATCAAACAAATATTTAAATATTTAAATTACTGCAGCTAGTTTTAAATGCAAGTACAGGAATTCAAGGCAAGGCAAGTCATTTTTTAGAAACATTATTTTAATCTGGATTGTTATCAGATTAAATATTGAACATGTTTATTTTCTCATATACATAAACTGGTTTTGAAATCAAATTGGAAAGAAAATTACCTATGATGAAGCAGTAAGTTAAATTTAGGATAAAAGATAACTGCTACAGTGAAGAGGTGTCTGTCTTGCAGAGGTCACAAATGTTGCCCATTTTATATTACATGTAGTATATATTTGAGGGTTGGTGGTGCTAGTAATGGATGCTTTTTCCTTGGACATGCAGAAATCTCATTTTCAAATTTGAATAATTTGATCTGTATAATTATATCCTGTTTGTTATAAATACCTTGTCACAACCGAATGTGCAATCCAGATTCAAAGAACTGAAAAAAGCTCCTTTGTGGAAATTTTCTTTTCTATTTGCCATTTTTTCTTTCTCCTTTTATTATGATTTATTTTTATGAATTTTTTATGATTTTTATGAATTAACTATTTTTTACCCAACAATATTTCCAGATATAATTCTTTAAATAGACTTTGAAATTTTAGAATGTGATATTCAAAATTAATAAATTTTCTTTGCCACCGCCCAAAAAAACCCTACATGCTCAATTGATTTTCAACAAAGGTGCAAAGGTAATTCAGTCTAAAACAAACATGCTGAAACAATTGGATATCCATATGCAAATACATGAAATTTGGTTCATACCTTGCACCAAATAGAAAAATTAACTAAAAAAAAACATCATCAATCTAATTGAGAATAATGGAAGTAATGTTTCTCACTGTTGGTGAAGGAAATTACAAATATGGAGAATGGAAAGACTAGAATGAACCCTGAAATACTGAATTGGAATTGGAGGTTTCAGTTTGAACTTATGTTTTAAAAATACAGATACATATACAAACATACATACACGGGTGTGCGTGTGCATGTGTGCACGCATGTGTGTGTGTGTGTGTGTGTGTGTGTGTCCCAGATCTGTCTGCTGTGATAGTCTAGAAACAATAGCTACCCAGTCTCAATGAACACACCCAAACTTTGTTTCAAATTGCCATTTGCTTCTAAAAGAAATCAGGACTTTTTGGAGAAATGACTGAAGCCAGGTAGGGGAAGAGAAGTAAAAGATGAGCTGTGAAAAATCTTATTGCTCCAAAGAGTAAGGAAGTGCTCAAAGAATCTCAAGGTTGTATCAAAAGACTACAGGAGTCAGCTTGAAGGGACTCCCACTGGGAATTAGAGACAATTTGTATAATGGCAAGTAATCATAATAATTGGTTATAACCTATTGAATAAAATGGGGATCCTTAAGTCCAAATAAATAAAAAAATAACAGGAAGAATACTTCCTTACAGTAAATGCTGAGAAAAGAACTTTTATCTGAGGAATGCAAGTCCTCCTAATTACCAGGCTCAGAGAGACATTAAAATGAGACAGCAATTACATCACACTCCTTCCTGTAGCCACGTATTCATCTCTTAAAACTTCTTGCTATTGCCACAAGTAGCTATAAATTAACCTAATAATGCCACGCTGGACACTATAACCCACACCGTATAGCTTAATAATGTATAGCTAATCACTAATTGATGTTATTTCTGTAAACCAATGAGAATTCCTGACAAATAACTTTGTCACTCCCTGTCCCCCTTTTTTGCCTTTAAAAATCCACTTGTAACTGCTGCTAATCAGGCAAATTGAATCTATGATCCCAGGTTGCAATTCTCAAGCTTTGCACAAATAAATTCTCTAATTATATTAATTTTGCCTTAGCTTCTTTCTTTTAGGTCAACAATGCCACGTAATAGACGAGAAGGAACAATAGAGTTAAAAAAATCATGAATGGACGCTAAAACCAGTGGGTAAAAATTTGATGAGCAACAGAATATTTACACAGTCTCAAGAATTTCTTCATAAATCTTTTATGAATTACAAAGAGAAAAGTGGCTAAACCTAGTGGGCACCATCGGAACCAAATGATCAAAATTTACAAAAAAAAAAGTCATCAATATTGGAACAAAGTGACATCATATGCTTTCTGAAATGATGCACTGAGAAGAACACAGAATATGACTTGTATACTATTCTTGTCAAAAATGTGTAACTTGAATATAATCATGAGATTAGATTACAATTCACATCGAGAGACATTTTATAAAATAACTCTCCTGTATTATTCAAAAATGCCATGGTAGTGGTATCCAAAGAAAGTTTGAGGAACACTTCTAGATTAAAGACACATAATTAAGCTCAATGTGTTATCTTCAAGAAGGGAGCAGAAAATGGCTATGAACGTTATTGGAATGACTAATAAAATTTTAATATGAGCTGTTTATTAGATAAAAGCATTATATCAATGTTAAATTCCCCGATAATTATACTGTGATTATGTAAGAAAATGTTCTTGTTCTTAGGAAATGCACATTGAAATATTTAGGGGTAAATTACTCTCAAACAGTACAGAAAAAAACTCCACACATCTATATAGTGAATAAGAACAAATGGTGAAAAATGTATACAATTGGTGATTCTGTAAAAAGTATACAGGAAGTCTTTGTATTACTCATTCAATCTTTCTGTCAGTTTGAAATTATAGAAGGTACCAAGTTTAAAAATGAAAAAGGTATAAATAAAATCTCACTAGAATTTTAAAACCCTTCAAAATACAAAACTGCAAACATCCTGGAGTTATATAATAGATTGAAAAGCTAGTATATTTGAGATTTAATCTACTACTAAATTTTTCAGGAAGCTAGTAGTTCGGGGCTTTAGTTTACTCATTTACAAAATGAAAAAACTGGACTAAATGTTTACTATCAAAGATATTTTCTTCCCTGAAATTTGTAACTCTATATAGCTAAATGAATAGATCTGTTGGGATTATTGGATATAATGCCAGTAAATATTGATAGGCAGATACAGCTATTTTAGCTTTATTGATACAAACCTGATTTCTGACAATAATTGTCTATTCTTGGGTTTCAAGAGTTAATATATATAAGTAAAGTGCTTAGAATTGTTCCTGGTAAATGCTATTAGATAAAACCTTGCTATTATAATTAGGATTATTATCACTGAACTCAGTGTTTGCTCTATAGTTAAAGAGATTCTAAATTTCCTTTGGGGAAAGTTTTGGCCTCACTGGTGTGGCCCACCTCTGAGCAAAAGTGACAAGTTACTTCTGGTAAATGTTTACAACAGAATGCCAATTTCTAATAGCTAAAGTTAAGTGATTGCTTCTTTATCTGCAACACACAAGTGCCCCTTCAGTCAAGGAATTTAACTCAGTTGAAGACGTAGTTACTGAACACCTATCTCGTATAAGAACTATGTTAAAGCACTGCAGAAAACAAAAAACAATTATAATTATTCACAATATTTTATAGTCTGATAGGGAAAAGATATTATAAATACATAAATCACTCTTAATGTAAACTAGCATATGTGCTACAAAACAAAACATTAGGGGACTTCCCAGTACACAATATAGCATTTCTTCATTATCAAGAGGAGATTTTGGAAGTGGATCTATGACATTTGAACTAGCAGAAATACAAGGGAGGGTATTCTAGGAAGGGGGAAGAGGAAACAGGTGACAAAACAGACAGTATCCAAGGAGTGTAGCAAGGTCATAGTACATTTGTAGTGAACCCTAATGGAGGGTCTTGTTATGTGACTGAAGAATTTATATTTCATTTGTTAGGAGAAAAAAGAAAAGCCATTCAAAGTTTTTGAATATGAAGTAGAACAGACTGGAGTTGTTCTAAGAGAAGTTTATCTGGCATAGTGTATTACAGTGGGGTGAGTTGATTTGGGAAACCAATCAGGATGCTACAATAATAGTTTAAGTGAAAAATAATAAAAGCTTGCCCTTGGACTCGGTAGCCAGGAGATGACAGACAAGAAAGGTGGCAGATGTGAAACACCACAAGACTTGGCTAAGAAGGGGAAAGACAGGAAATCATTATATTTTATTCCTAGATTGGATGATTACATATACTGGACAGGACAGTAGAAATTCTTTATCCAATGCCATCTAAACATTTTTGCTTATAGAACTCCCCAAAGGAGTTTTTCTTAAGTATCTCCACAAATAATTACGTTGATATCTAAAATTTTTCATCATAATTTTACTGACAATGGATATAATTCCTGGTAATTGTAAATATTAACATTTTAAAATAAAATGTTCATTGCACCTTTAAATATATTCAATGTAATCTAAATAATGTAAATCTAAATAAATACCACAGAAATTTTATGTCCATAATTATTCATGTAAAGCCACCATTTGCTGATGGACACATTTTTATATTATTACAGTCATATTATACCATAAGAAAGTACTCTCTGGGAAAGGGTATTTGATGTTGAAATCATCCAGTCGAGTTACCATCCAGCCTATCTTGCTTTAAAAGTATTATCCTCAAAGTCTTGTATATCTTCTAAGCAAACAGTTACCGAACCCTCATAGTCTCTGAGAATTCTAACTTTGATTCTAGTTGCCAGGGATACTGTACTGAATATGACGAAGTTTCTACCCTCTTGGTGCTTAAATTCTAGTAAGGGAAAGACAATAAATAAATAAAGGGGTAAAAAACAAGATAACTTCTAAAAGTGATTTAGCGGTATGAAAAGAAATAACCAGATTTATGGAATAGTCACTGGGTGACTATTTTAGGTCACGTGGTTAGAAAAGGCCTCTTTTGGGTTACTTTTATGCTGGATTTGAATGAAGGCAGCCCTGCAAAGACCAGAAGGAAAGAAATCCAGGGAAAAGGTCAAAGTGACTAGGAAGAATACGTATTAGAACAGAAAATGTGGTATATGTATACCACGAAGTACTACTCAGCCATACAAAAGTATGAATTAATGTCTTTTGCAGCAATTTGGGAGGAACTGGAGACGATTATTCTAAGCGAAGTATCTCAAGAATGGAAAAACAAACACCACATGTACGCTCTAATAAATTGGAACTAACCGATGGGCACACAAGTGCACAGATGGAAGTAAAGGTCATAGGAAATCAAGCAGGGGGAGCAGGGTTGAGGGGAGGGGAGAGAAAACACCTAACAGGTACAATGAACACTATTCAGGTGATGGGCACATTTACAGCCCTGACTCAAGCCATGTATCAAAAACATTTGTACCCCCTTAATATTTTGAAATAATAATAATAAAAAAGAATAGAAAGTTGTCCCAGCTATTTCACAATCTTCATTTTCTCTAGGTCGTCTAGTCATTCCTACCTCTCCAGAAACATGTATTAGTGCCAGTGGCCAACCCTGGACCCACTACCCTGTAGTCGAAACTGAAATAAGATGTAACCAATGCTGGAGGCTGGGGTCAGAGGAGAGAGAGAAGGGTAATGAGAAATCACAAGCCACCATGTCTACCTCTAGTTGATGGCCATGATAATCCCAAATTCTGGAAAACTGATTTGAAATAGCATACTATTGATCATAAGAAAAAAAGAAAAAAGAGAGTGGAGGATTAATGCAAACATACAAGTACAGGAAACACAAGTCAAAAAAGTATGGTCTTTACCCAGAGAACAGCATAAGCAAAGGTTTTCCTCTGCCACAGGTAAGTGGAAAATCTGAGGATGTATTCAGGGAGCAGAAAGTAATTCAGTTTAGCTATAGTACAGGACATATGAAGATACCAACATAAGATATAAACACAAATTGGGGAAATACCACTGAATACTTTTTATGTCAAGTTAATGCAATGGAACTTAATTCTGCATGAAACTGAGAGCTACAGAAAGTTTCCGCAGATGGTAGTGACTGATCTAGAAGCGGGCTGCAGAACAGAGACTGGGGAGTAGGAAGAACAGTTAGAAAGCTACTGTAATAATTCAGGTAAGAAGTAATGATTGCTTAAACTCAAGTAATGAATTATTAATTTGTTGGCAATTACTTTTCAAAATATTAAATGTCCAAAGTTAGCAGTGTGCAGTGGGAAAAAAAAGTTTCCCGGAACTTTAGTGCCTTGCTGGTGAAAGTATAAATTGAACAACTTTTCTGTTGTACGATTTGATGTGATTGGATTTAAGAAACAATGGAGAAATGGTCAAAAAGATCAGAGGACTGATAGATTTCAAGGATGAGGAAAGAGAAATATAGAAGATGATTATGAAGTTTCAAGCCTCATTGTCCAAGAGGATTAGACTATTAACAGAAATGAGTAAGCAGGAGGTGATGGAAAAGAGAACAGATTTAGAAGACCATGAGTACTTGCCCTGGCCTCACTGTCGAGATTCTGTGTAACCTGAGGCAAACTCGCTTAAACTTAGTGTCTGTATTAACATGTAAAATGGTGGTAGCAGAGTGTCGTTGAAATAAATTATTTCAAATGTCCTTTCCAGCTAGACAATTTTGCAATTTTGAGGCATTCTATGACTGTGAATCACATTAGTTAAGCATTTAATTTCTGAGATATGTCTTAAGGGAGGGAAACCACTTTCTCTTAAGAGAAATCTCTTAAGAATATTAGTTTATTCTTTCTAGCATATTAGCTTTACTTTGTAGCTCACAAAATAAGTGGTTATAAATATATGATCTTTATAAAAAATTTGAAATTAATGGAAAAAATATAAGTATACCTGCTTCCTCTCATATTTCTCTAATACTGCATATACATTTGTGTATGTTATCTATGAAAGTCTGGAATTATAATGTTTTGTAGCCTGTGTTTGTCAGCATTATATAGTAAGCTGTTTCCCATACATCATTATATAACCATTCTTTAGTAGCTTTATATAGATGTATGGATAGCTATAACCTGATCAATCTTCTAATAATTATATATGTCAATGTTTCTAATAACATTGAATTAAATGAATTTATACATAAACTTTAATGTATGCCTGTACATTATTTTCCCAAAATAAATGTCTGGTTTAAAGGGCATAGTTTTAAGGCTTTTGATAATCAACTTATACTCTAGAAAATTTGTCCATTACACTCTTCAGTAATACATCAGTGAGTATTTTACCATATTCTTGCAAACACAGACATTTAGTATTTTAAAAAGTTTTTCCTAACAAATGAAAACTGGTACTTCATTTTAATTTGTATTTAAATATAGAAAAGTTAAACATGCTTATTGTACTTACGTATTTCTTTTTATTCTAGAATTGCATTCAGTTTATACACATTTTCCTTTCGGCTTTTGTCATTTGTCTTTAAATCTTTTTATAATATGAACTTCCATTTTTCATATATGTTATAAAAACTTGTTCGCTATTTGTATTTTGTCTTGTGTATTTTGTAACATACACGTTGTAAATGATTATGTATTTAATATTTTTCTGTTCAATTACATCTTTTATTTTTATGCTTAGAAATGTCTTCTTAGGCTATATATGATTATCTACATTTTCTTCCAGTTCTTTTTCTTTTATTAGATATATGTAATATTAATTCATCACTAATTTGATCGTGGTGATTTCTTTACGATATGGACAGAAAGTAAAACTTGTAATCTTTAAATATTTTCATTGGTGACTTGTCAACTTTCTTATTAGTTCTGATAGCTACTCGGTTCCTCTAGAGTTTTCCAGGTAATAATTTATCTGCCAATAAGAGTAACTTAATTCTTTATTTTTTAATAGTTCAGACTTCTCTTTGCTTTTTGTTGTTTCATTGAACTTCCAGGACGATGTCAGGAGGAGAAAAAAACAGTGGTAATGGCACGAATCCTTCTCTTATTAATCTTTATATCCCTTAGCTATATCCAGATTCCAAATGATTTTTCTATTATGTTAATAGTAGCCATTCAAGCATTAGAGGAAGGCTTGTCATGACATTGCCAGTATATCCCCTCTCCTTCCCACTTTCACGTCTAGCATGTTAAAATAGTAAAGATCCCAACAGGCATAGGCAGGTAACCTAGTAGTCAGGTTAGGCTGGTTCTCTGCCGTACTCAGTACCAGCCCTGTGGTGAAGCCGGTTCTCTCCCTATAACCTACACGATTTCCAAGCTTTTCTGGGCGAGGGGAAGGCCGGAGTTTAGAAATTATCACACTGACCGCCACACTAGAAAATTTTTTATTTTTTCTCCTTGGGGCCACGGGTGTTTTATTACAAAAATAGAATAAAAACTTCATAAACAAAATTATCCTAATTTAATGAAAATTTTGTTTTTTTTTATTGTTTTCTGTGAGTTATATCGCAACTTGAAAAATAGTTCTCGGTTTTCCCAAGATGAAGAGACATGAGTTACATATGCTTCATGGAGCCCCGGTCTCAACACTACCGTGAGTTAAGTGCAACTCACATGGCAGTTACTGTGTTATTTGGTAGCGCCAGCCAGTCTTAGAAGCCAAGTCCCTGCCCTCAAAGCGAGGGAAAGCCAGGCTCTCCACAGCCCAGAGGTTGGTCGTCGTTAGGGCCAACGGGCCGCTAGGCTCAGGTCGCCTCCTCTCCGCCCCCTGCAGGCCCGCCCGTGACACCGCCCAGGGCACCCGGCGGGAGCGCGGACCCAGGGAGCCCAGAGCGGGTTCGCCGCAGTTCCGCACGCCCCAGGCCGCCGGCCTCGCAGCAGAGACACTGGGCTCAACGTCGCTCCCTCCCGCCATGGCGCGGGTGCTGATCGTGGGCGCCGGCCTGACAGGAAGCCTGTGCGCCGCGCTGCTCAGGAGAGAGACGTCCGGTCCATTGTACCTCACGGTGTGGGACAAGGCTGGGGACGCAGGTGGGTTATCCAACAGCGGCCGCGGCTTGGTACGTGACGCGGGCCCTCACCGGAGTAAGTCTGAGGAGCAAAGTTCAGACTCTGAGCTGTTCAAGAGCACTGCGCGCCTCGTCACGTGACCGGAGACTTCCGCGGCCCGGGAACAGGCCTGGGAAGGGGCAAGGGGGGGGGCGGCGGCCCAGCTGTGTTGAGGGCGGGGCGGGGGCACGCCGGACTTTCCGAGGAAGGCCGGAGCTAGCAGCCTGGGTGCGGGCCTGACGCGAGTTTGCAATCCTTAGGCCTACCTCTGTCTCTAATAAATGGATTTTTTGTTGTGGTCTGTCTGTGCCTTTGCGGCTTTCTCTAAATTACGAGGATCCCAAAGTGCTCATAGACCAAGACTTTCCGAAGATCTAGTTTACGGAGTCCTGTCATTCTGATGAAACTTGACTGCGTGAATGAAAGAACGTTAGTTGATTCATTCATTCTGACATTTCATTCATCATTTTGTGTTATTTTATCCATTCATCATTTCTTTTACTAAATATATGCACTAGTAACAGTGCTGGACACTGCTGCATTATTCATGACTCCTTTTTTTTTTTTTAAATCTCACAATCAGTGACCAAATTGTCTCTGTTAACTACTTATGAAAATGTTAAATGACAAAAACATCAACTTAAAAAATAATGTTTCTTAATATATTTTAAAAGTAACCCATTTGAGGTAAGCTGGGGTAAATTGCGTGAATTGCAAAGGCTCATTCTAATACTCTTAAAACATTTCCCTGTGGATTAATTCAAGGGGGAAGAATGACTACAGCCAGCAGTCCTCACAATTCACAGTGTACAGCTGACTTGGGTGCTCAGTACATCACCTGCACTCCTCATTATGCCAAAAAACACCAAAGGTGAGTTAGTTGCAAGGAATGGAATCAATCTCAGTAGCTGTATGCTGTAAAAAGATACAAATCATCAATATTTAACGTGGTTAAACTTTGCCTCCTGTAGCATCGTGAAATTACTGTGATATGATTCTTGTTGATGATGTTAGCAGTAAAAGGTTAACCTGAGTAAAGTAGGAAACTATAACACCTACCTCACAGGGTTGTTGAGAAGATTAGACGAGATAATATATGGAACATAGTAAAGGCTGAATATATATCAATTACTAAGTTGGTGTTGAAGAAGAGGGCAAAAAAATAGCTGCGATGAGAGTCAGTCTGCTTAACCAAATTTAAAATTTATGTGCTAAATACATTTCTGTTTGTTTTCATTAATCTTAATTTTGAAATGTACTTATGGAGAAATAGGCCTTTGGCTAATGTCAGCAAAAGATCTGTGGATTCTCAAAACATTTCTGTTCTTCACCCGAATTATAAGTTTTATTTAACACAAAATATACATTGAGTTGAACATATGAAGATTTCTAGTTACAATTTAGAATTATAATCTCTGAGAATTTTTGGAAGAGAATATAGTATTTTAGAGCCAATCATGATATATACTTACATTGTATATATATTGATTTGTTTTATTTAAGCTTTTATGATGAACTGTTTGCTCACGGCATTTTGAAACCTCTCACCTCTCCTATTGAAGGAATGGTGATGAAAGAAGGAGACTGTAACTTTGTGGCACCTCAAGGAGTTTCTTCAATTATTAAGCATTACTTGAAAGAATCAGGTAGGACTAAGATTTTCTATGCCCTCTTTTAAAATTAGCATTTTAAAATAAAAGTTACATGCATAATTAAATATTAACACTATACAGAAAGTTATAAAAAGTAGATGTTCTTCCATTCACCACTCATTTGCTAGTCTTTCTTCCTCCAAAGTAATCACTGATAAGTTTCCACTGTATGCTTCCAGAAAAATGTTTATACATCTGTCTGTTGAGCTACATACCTCATTAGCTTCATATAGAGCTACCATATCACTTTTAAAAATCTCATTTCCGTCATGATTTTAACTTGACTCAAGTTAGATGTGTATACTTATTTAAATACTCAAGTACTTACTAACTGTATTACATATCCATACATGCATATATAAGGGCTTAGAAAATGATACTCCAAAATGAAGACCCTAGAAGCAACTCTCTCTGACCTGCCCCTGTCCTGTCTCTAACCTCTCATTCTCCCTAGAGGCTAGCCATAGAAACTAGAACCCCTTTTCCCCAAGGCAGGTAACAGAAACCAGAACCCCTTTTCCCCAAAGCCAGCTATAAAACCAAAAAATATTATTTTTAACTCCCCCATCCCTCCCCTCACCCCACCTCCTTTCCTTGTGAAAACCAGTTGTAAAGAAATTAATTGACCTATGTGCTGGGTTTCCCTAATCATCTGATTAACATTAGATCATACCCTTTTTGTCCAATCATATTTCTATGTAGCTGTCCATACTTTGTTGAACGTAAGCATAAAATGACAGTTGCCCTGTATCTTTGGGTCTTCATTTTGAAGGCTCTCATGTCACATAAAACTATGATCGAATAAATTTGTATGCCTCAATCTACCTTATCTTTTGTCAGTTGATTTTCAGAGAACCTTTAGAGGGCAAAGGGGAAGTTTTCCCTTCACCCCACACATGCATACAGACATACATATATCCTTTTATTCAATAAACATTTATTGAAAGCTTACTATATGCCCTACCCTGTTTTAGGTGCTGATGATACAAGAACCAAAGTCCCTGCCCTCATGGAGCTGATGTTCTGGCAGAATATTTTGCATCTACCTCCATATTTTGTATGTGTTTAGGGAAATATATATGTTTTATCTTCCAATTTTGCTTTGGAAGTTTTTGGGAGAAGAGGTCATTTTTAATACTTTGCAGCTCACACAGAACCTAATAGTACCTTGTGCATAGTAGGTATAGTGATATAAATTTCTAATATATAAAAATAGTTTATATGTATAGTTGATACATATTAGATCACTATCAGTACTAATTCAACCAATTCTTAGTAAAAACCTATTCATATTTTCAATTGGTAAAGCCTCTTGAGATAATGAATTCTGTGGATTTTCTTATCATTATGTAAAGCATTACTATTATTTCAAAAAGTAACTTTTTAATAAAGAATTATATACTCTTCGTAGAAAACTTGGAAAATACAGAAAAATAGCAGGAAAAATGTCATTATAGTATGTAAATCAATAATAAATCCATTTTGTGACATATTTTGGGCCTATCTACCCCAGTGGTTCTCACACTTGAGTGTGCGTTGTAAACAAGTTTAGGGGGCTTGCTAAACACAAATTGCTGGGCCTAATTCCTAGTTTATGATTCGATAAGGTTGGGGCCTAAGAATTTACATTTCTATTTTTGAATTTCAGAGAAATCTTCTTAATCTTTCACATTATGAAGCTTTTAATTTAAGATAAATCTCTTAAAAATATTAGCTTATTCTTTCTAGTATATTAGTTTTACTTTGTTACCAACGAAATAATTGGTTATAAATATATATCTTCATAAAGGCTTTCTGGTTCCTAGGTGCTGCTGGTGCTGATGTTCTGGGGTCCACACTTAGAGAACCACTGACATACACCTTGCAGAACACCTTGAGGCCATCAGGATACAATTCTAAGACATGCATCTGGAGCATGGCGAATTTTGTAGGCCAGTGGTCTTCAGTCCCCTTAAACACACTCACATACCACTTATAATAACAACATATTGCTCTTTTCAAATGAATAATATGTGAAAACAAAACATATAGAATTGATTGACTTAGTTGAGGCCTGGGACAGGGCCACGGACCAAGTGAGGCAAGTGGGGTGAGACAGCCTAAATAAATAAAACGGGGTGAAGCAGACAGAGCTGCTCTAGTTCTAGTAAAGGAGATGGTGGATGTGTGTTGAGAGTGCACATATTTGCACCTTCCCCAAGCCAGGGTCTTAGAAAAACCTGTAGGCAAATTGGAGCTCTGTTTACAAGCCCTTGCTTTAGTCTTTGAACAGAATGTTGCTCGCTGCCTCAAACAGATTGATCTCTTGGCCTAGTTAGCACCATGTTCCTTCTATCATTTGTATTTGATTTAAAAAAATTCGAATGCCTACTGTGGTGTAGGATTATTCAAGGGACAATGAAAGAGGTACAAGTATAAGAGATGAGAAGACCCGACGTGGAGGAACCTAGAGTATTATTGGATAGATAAGACATAAATAAAGCATGCAGATATTTTGAATCAATCTAAAAATGAGTGGTAAAGGCAGTGATGGCTGAAGGACGTTACAGACAGGAAGGATCACATGGAGCTGGAGTGGCTACAGAGAGGAAGCCTGGTGGATGAGGTTGGACTTTTGCTGGGTTTTTAGTGACTAGGAACATGAGCTGTCCCAGGTAATGATGAACAGGATCTTTCAGTGTGCTTTTTTCCCCCTCATTGCATTTTCATTTCTCTTTACTACATGAGGGTGAATAAAATTGGATTTGTTTTTAAATAAAAATTTTCTAAAAGCTAGACTGTAAGGTAAGTATTAGTGTATCAAGGAGACCTAATGAACCAATTATACATTCTCATCTTTCAGTTTATGGTTCATAATTCATTCTTTTAAACAAATATTTATTAAATACCTAGTATGTGCCAAATTCCATGCCATATATGCTATATGCTATACATAGAAACAAAACAGACATAATTTGTGGCTCGTAGGGCTTACAGATTAAAAGAGAAGACAATATTAAACAAATAATTAGGCAAATAATTATTAAAATATCATTTTGTTAAGTGCCAAGAAGGAAAATGTGATGGGAAGGTACTCTATGTTTCTCTAAATTTGTACTCTTCTCAATGAAGGTAATTGATCTATTGATGAAAATTGACATTTCTCTTACAGAGACCTCTTTCAGGTCCTTTAATAAAGGGTATTAATTCCTTTAATAGGGAATATTGCTCTTCTCACTATTACTAGAAAGAATTAATTGCTAACACCTTTACTGAAATGTATACTTGCCCTGCAAAATGATGAGCTTTAGAGTCAGATAGATGTAATGTTAAATCATGGCATGACATTGCTCAATCTGTTTTCTTATCTGTAAAATAAATTGATATTAATATAATGTGTATCAGGTGGTCAGCCTACAGTAGATGCTTAATGAAAGGTAGCCATGGTTATTGTTTTTATTAGTAGTAGTAATTGTAGTAGTATTTTTTTTTTCAGAGCAGGCCTTGATAGGGAGGTCCAGGAGGGCCAAAGGAGGATGAATTCCCACCAAATTAGAAAGTAAAGAAAGAGAACCTGGGCACCATAGAAAGACAAACTTGATCATTGCATTCACTTGACTGGACTCTGTTTGTGACGATTCACATCCTCTTTATTCATATTTAGAGAATCCTGATAATGGGAATGATTTTACTCTTGGAGCAGGTGCGGAAGTCTACTTCAGGCAGTGTGTGACCCAGATCAACCTGAGAAATGACAAGTGGGAAGTCTCCAGAGAAACAGGCTCCCCTGAGCAGTTTGATCTTGTTGTCCTCACGATGCCAGTTCCTCAGATTCTGCAGCTTCACGGTGACATCACCAACTGTGAGTCTGCCTTTGTTCTTTACCTATTTCAGGAAATGAGGTTTCTTTGACAGAGTATGAATTTGGTTTAACTCTCTTAACAAAGGGAAGATTATACATTCTATTGATTTGCATGATACTTGTGGTCCAGTTCATAATTTTATTCTAGGCCAACATGAAACCCCTAGAATTTTTTTTTAACTGGTTAAAAGTAGAACATTTTTCTTTGCCCTTGCCTTCAATAAGTCAGTATTGTTTATGGACATACAGTGGTTCGGCCTAAAAGTAGAGTTTCTTTGTGGCCATTTTGGAGAAAAGAAGGTTTTTATAATACAAACACTTGCTTGAGTTGCCTCATTTCCTGTGTTTTTGCTCTCCGGGTTGCCCTCTAGGTATTTACTTCTGTTTGAGGCAATTGCCTAGCCACTTTGTGAAAGAGACTCCTAAGAGAAGGGATGGATGGGAGGGGGGTGAGTGAATTATGCTGAAGGAGCTAAAATTATGCTAAAAGAGCCAAAATTATAATATAGTAACTAAAATTCAAAGAAAGTGCCTCTGTCTGAAATAATAAAGACAAAAAAAGAGTATTTTCTTGCTAAAGATAACACAGGTATATTTTAAGGAGAAATGTGATGGGCTATTGATAAGTAGAATGACATCTTATTTAGCAAATCAGATGTCACTATTTTATGATATGGAATCAATTTTCATATGGAGAGAAACTTTCAAATTTCAAATTTCACTGGCTTGGGGCATGAGAAGGGATTGTACAAAAACTCAGTTGCTCACAAAGAAAATTAGAATATGAGAAAAGAGAGGATAAGGAAACTAGAATGTAATGACCTCATCACCAAGTAGTTTCTTTATGTCACCTAAGTTTGACTTTGCCATATACCTCCTCTAAAGATCAGCTATGGTTCCATTCCAACACAGAAAGAACCTGACATGAGTTTTCTATTCTTTTTAATAAGGTTGCACTTAATGGATTAACCCTATTAAGTTTTAGATACCTGTTCATTTGAACCTGGTGAAATTATTGTTACATATGGTGATAATAGCTAATGCGTTACCATCAAAATTGATTTTGTAATCAAATTTTGTAGAGCCATCAATAGGCATTGATTGGTATTTATTCCTAATCACTAACTAGGGAATATTATTGAGTAGAGAGGATTATTATTAAGTCCATTTAATATGCTGATTAGAATTTGCAAATTAAGGCAGGGTATTTTTAAAAGTTGCTCTCCAATTGCACACTATGTGTTTATATGCTTTATATGTTTTATATGTATATATGGTTTGTATGTTTTGGAAATATTTTAAAATAGGATACTTTTATTGACAATGTTTCATCTCATGAACATCTAGGTAATAGAAAACAATATTTAAATAGTGACTATTACTAGGTTTATCTATGTAAAATTGTGGTTTTGTAGGTTAAAAATGGTCATATATTGGCAATTTCATGTGGTTCAGCCTAAATACTATATAGAGGTAATAAATTGGTACACAGGTTGGAAAAAATTAATGAAGAAAGCCAATAACTTGTGATGTAGATCTGAAGTTTTTTAGGATCATAAAGACTACTTTGACATGTACTTCTAATTTGATTTGTTATATCTAATTATAGTACTTTTTAAAATTTTCTATAAGGTATTGACAAGCCTTTAATATTATGATGTTTTATTTTTATCATTTTAATTGCTGTTATTTTTAAACTCTTTCTAATTCTTTAGATACTGCACTTGGTTTAGCATTATTCACTTTATCTTTAATAACCTATAGATAGTAAACTTTGTTTAACTTCTTTTTAATATAAAATGTGTGGTGAAGAGAATGTGTATGGAGGGTCTGATTTTCTATCCTTCTCTGAAATAGACTCTAATCTACAAATAGCCAATTTAGGAATGTCATTTACGTGCAAATATCTTTCCTAGTTGACAAATGCTGTTCATTCAGGGGTGGGTGAGAAGTTGGATACCTAAGATTTTCACAACTCCTGAGGGTTCCTGGTGCACTGACACCAGAAGCTTCTGATAAATCCACAGACATCTCTTTCCTGCCACTGTGGCTCAGCACAGGTGAGATGAGGGTGGTAGAAAGTTTGTTCTTTTCCTGCCAGTGATGCGGAGCATAGGAGGAAGGAGAAGAAGACATGCCAGTGCCCAAATTAGAATGTATAGTATCCGTGTGAACCAGACTTTGGGTATATTGTAAGTGAACTCTGAGATCCAGAGATGAGTAGGACAGTAGTATCAGCAAAAGGCATGTGTGGAGAGTCCGAAAGCTAAAATTCCTGTACTAAGTACTAAGAGAGGATTCAGATATGAGAACAAAGGGAATAAAGGTATTTAACCATACCTAACAAGTAGTATGGCAGGGAGGATACATTTCTCCAACTAGGTACACTTATTCACTTAGCCTTTGTGTTATCAGGCCAGTTTTCCTTACTGATACTGTAATTCTAGCTGACAATGTTCATTCTAAACATAGAAAACTCAGAATTGGAGGGGGTCTTAGAGAGCATCTGGTTTTATCTTTTAGCCTTTGCATGAGTTTTTTTTTTAAAACACTTTATTAAGGTATTATTGTCATATGAAAAGGTATACATAATGTATACAACTTGATGAGTTTGGAGATAAGGATAACATTCATAAAACCATTACCACAATCTATGCCATAAACATATTTATCACCTCCAAATATTTCACCTCCCTTCTTTATTTGTTATATTTTTCTTTTATAAAAAGAACATAGCATGCAAGATCTACCCCCTTAGCAAAATTTTAAGTGTACAATATAGTATTGTTAACTATGGGCACTATGCAATATAGTAGATCTCTAAGATTTGTTTATTTTGCATAACTGAAACTTTGTACCCTTTAACTAAAGCTTTCCTTTTTTCCACCCTGAAGCCTCTGGAACAAAAACTATAAAAAAAGTCCTAGATAGCAATAATCTGGTGAGAACACTACCCTTACAAAATGATGCATGATATACCCCATCACTCTCATTGTATCTCTGCCCAAGAATTAAATTTCAGGAAAAAGCATCCTATTGACCTGGCCTGGGTTTTATTCCCACCCCATGGCAAAGCATTGCAATGTCCTTGATTATAATTCTATTGCATTGCATGTAATCAATGGGGAAAAAGTAATACCCCCAAATAAATATAGGAACTGTCAGGAAGAAAATTTACATGCTGAATAATCAAAAACAATGAGTGTTCACTGCATAGGTGTTCTTTAATATTTGTAAAACGAGTGAATGACTGATTTACTACTGAACAAATGCGTTCCCAAAAGACCGGAGGAGCTACTTAAATTTCACTCGTCCAAATTGCTTTTCCACATTCTCTGTAAAGTGCTCATTAGTATAATTCCATAATAGACTGGTTTTCTTATTTATTTCATATCCTATTTTCTTTAAATATGGATTTGTATGAAGAAGGAAAGAGAAACCTTATACTGACAATGGGCTTTATTTCTTTAAAATACTGGTTATTTATGTTTAAGTCTAGATCTGAAAATTATGTTGATACATATTGCTTTAACTTGCATTCATTTCATTAGTTGTACGTGTTGGTTTTAATTCATTCACTTTTTATTAATTTATTAATTTTCAAATAGTACATTGTTCTGTGTGAGGTTCCATTGAGCAGCTAAGAAGGGTGTCTTAAAGCATGCCCTGGAATATGAATTGACATCCTCTTTGGTACCCGAGCTGCTTTCTTTACCCTTAATCCTGTGTGTCTGGAGAGTCCAATCTAATATCTGTGGGCTCTAGAATTGAAATCCTAAATCTTTGAGAGAATTTCAGATTTCTGATAATATTGCTACTAGGAAAAAATTGACACTTTGAGTTTTAAATTGGAATACTTTTCTGTTAAAATCTCAAATATTTGAAACACCTGTTTTGATACCTTTTCATGTATCTGAACAAGATAGCCAAAAGCCACATCTTGTTTCCCTTAACAAAGGTTAAAACACAGGTTAAAAAAAAATGCCTGGTGATAGTCATCCCCAGGCCTGAAAAAAAGAACTAGAATGGTCGACATACTATGTCCACATTAAGGTATTTGAGTACGGAGTGGTCAGCTTGCCTGTGGTGGATTTTTGTTGCTATTGTTTTGTTTTGTTTTTAACCCTACATGAGATAGGCATGCATCCAAATCACTGGAAGGGCTTGTTAAAACACAGATTACTGGGCCACACTCTGAGTTTCTGGTTGAATGGGGGTGTGTGTAGACAATTTGCATTCCTTACAAGTTTCCAGATGATGCTGAAGTTGCCAGTACAAGGCCAACACTGTAAGAATCATTCCTTTGCCTTAGACAATCAACTAGTTTATAAAACAGAGCAATAGATCTTCAGAAAGGGACTCACCTTGCAAACAGGTAATTCTAATGTGCAGCCAGGGTTGAGAATTGCTGTCATGAAGCGTCAGCCTAGCCACACAATTTGTGGCTTCTTTTCTTACATTTGCATCCTTGTTTTGCATGTCTTGATCACATGAAGCCCTGGCAGATCTCACCTTGCATTGTTGAGCTGAGTCTCATGCTTTCCTCTGCTTGGTACTTGTTGGCTCACCTCTTACCTGACTTTGCCGCCTCAACCCCACAACACACACCTATTTGATTTAATTTAATTAATTTATTTATTTATTGAGAAAGAGTCTCTCTCTGTCACCCTGGCTAGAGTGCTGTGGCATCAGCCTAGCTCATAGCAACCTCAAACTCCTGAGCTCAAGTGATGCTCCTGCCTCAGCCTCCCAAGTAGCTGGTACTACAGGCATGCGCCACCATGCCTGGCTAATTTTTTCTATTGTTTTGGTAGAGACAGGGTCTCACTCTTGCTCAGGCTGGTCTCAAACTCCTGACCTCAAGTGATCCTCCTACCCAGAGTACTAGGATTACAGGCGTGAGCCACCGTGCCTGGCCCACCTCTTTTATTTTTAAACAGCTTTAAGATATAATTCATATACCACATAATTCACCTGTTTAAAGTGTGCAATTCAGTAGT